TTATGCGCACTTGCTGCGTGTCAATATACGCTGAACGCTACACACCCCAGCATGAACCACCGCACAGTATCCAGGCTTTATTAGCGCGCATCCGCGCCAGCGCATCGCTTCCTCAAACGCACCACTAAATACCTGCTCAACCACAAAATGACACAGCGCTCCACCTACACAACCCCGGACCTTCCTCTAGCATTAGCTGCCCGTCTTGCCGTATGCAAAGGCATCCACTCCAACAAATATCCGCCAGTCAAATCCTCCTAACCAACTAGCAACATACCACTTCGGCTTCATCCTAAACAAAACCCATATTCAAAAACCCGCCGCTTCTTGTCACACACTTTACACTATATTACCCTCATTTAGCTTTCCCCCACCCGCCACGCAATTCGCAAAGTGGCAGCAGCCAAATCCGATGCAGAGTTTAGCAGCGATGTGCGCCTCATTTTGCATATATGCTCACCAGCTGTGTGGCAATATACGGTGAATGCTACACAGTCTAGCATGCACGAGTACACAGTATCCAGCCTCCATCACCGCCCACGAACACCAGAGCATCGCTTCCTCACACGCACCACTAAATACCTGCTCACACAAATTGACACATCGCTCCACATACACAACCCCTGACCTTCCACCAACATTAGCTGCCCCTCTTGCCCTATGCAAAGGCATCCACGCCAACAAATATCGGCCACTCAAATCCTCCTAACCCGCTCCCAACATACGAGACCAGCTGCTTCCTAAACGCAACTCCTAAGCCGCCCCCCGCCAATTCCCCTCACATACTTTACACTATAGTACCCTGATTCTACCTCCCCCCACCCCCGCTCAACGCACAACGCTGCAGCTGCCAAATCCAATGCACTGTTTCACACACAGCTTAGCCTCATCTTGCATTTATCCGCACTTGCTGTGTGGCAATATACACTGAGCGCTACACAGCCTACCATGAACCGGCAAGCAGTCTCCAGCCGTCATTCCCGTGCAAGCACACCAGCCCATCGCTCCCTCAAACGCACCACTAAATACCTGCTCAACCACAAAATGACACAGTGCACCACCTACACAACCCCTGACCTTTCTCCAAGCCTAGCTGCCCGTCCTGCGGTACGCAAATGCATCCACTACAACAAATATCGGCCAGTCAAATCCTCCTAACCAACTCCCAACATACCACTTCGGTGCCTTCCTAATCACAACCCATACTCAAATACCCGCCGCTTCTTGCCACCCACTTTACACTATATTACGCCCATTTAGCTTACCCCCAGCCCCCAGTCAATGCAAAACGCTGCAGCTGCCAAATCCAATGCACTGTTTAACACGCAGCTAAGCCTGATTATGCATTTATCCGCACCGCCTGCGTGGCAATACACGCTGAACGCTACACAGCCTAGACTGAACCAACAAGGAGTCTCCACCCTTCATTAGCGCGAACGGACACCCGCACACCGCTTCCTCAAACGCACCACTAAACACCCGCTCAACCGCAAAATGATACACTGCTCCACCTACACAAGCCGTGACCTTCCTCCAGCATTAACTGCCCCTCTTGCCCTATGCAAAGCCATCCACTCCAACAAATATCAGGCAGTCAAATCCTCCTAACCAACTAGCAACATATCACTTCGCGTCCTTCCTAATCACAACCCATACTGAAAAGCGCACCGCTTTTTGTCACACACCTTACACTGTATATCCCCCAATTAGCTTCCCCTCCACCTCCACCCTATTCAATGCGCAGCTCTGTAGCTGCCAAATCCAGTGGAGTGTTTAACACACAGCTAAGGCTGGTCTTGCATTTATGCCCACTTGCTGCGTGGCAATATACGCTGAACGCTACACGCCCTAGCATGCACGAGTACACAGTATCCAGGCTTCATTGCCGCGCACCCACACCAGCGCATCGCTTCCTCAAACGCACCCCTGGATACCTGCGCAACCACAAAATGACACAGTGCCCCACATACACAACCCCTGAACTTCCTCCAACATTGGCAACCCGTCTTGCTGTACGCAATGGCATCCACTCCAACAAATATCGGCCAGTCAAATCCTCCTAACTAACTCCCAGTATACCGCTTCAGCCCCTTCCTACACAAAACCCGTACTCAAAAACCCGCAGCTTCTTGCCACACACTTTACACTATATTACCCCAATTTAGCTTACCCCCACCCGCGCTCAATGCGCATCGCTGCAGCTGCAGAATCCAATCCAGCTTTTAACACGCAGCTATGCCCGATCTTGCATTAATCCGCACTTCCTGCGTGGTAATATACGCTGAACGCTATACACCCCAGCATGAACCAGCATACAGTATCCAGCCACCATCAACGCGCACGGACACCAGCGCATCGCGTCCTCACACGCAACACTAAATGCCTGGTCAAACCACAAACTGACACAACGCTCCACCTACACAACCAATGACCTTCCTGCAACATTAGCTGCCCGTCTTGGCGTATGCAAAGGCATCCACTCCAACAAATATCCGCCCGTCAAATCCTCCTAACCCACTCCCAACATACCAACTCGCCCCCTTCCTAAACAAAACTCATACTCAGAAACCCGCCGCTTCTTGTCACACATTCTACAACAGATTACCCCCATTTAGCCTACCCTCGCCCCCCACGCCATACGCAACGCTGCAGCTGCCAAATCCAATGCACTGTTTAACACGCAGCTAAGCCTCATCTTGCATTTATCCGCACTTCCTGCGTGGCAATACAAGCCGAACGCTACACAGCCTAGCATGAACCAGCACAGAGTCTCCAGTCTAATCTACCGCGCACGCACACCAGCCCATCGCTTCCTCAAACGCACCTCTAAATACCTGCTCAACCACATAATGACACAGCACACCTCTTACACAACCCCTGGCCTTCCTCCAACATTAATTCCCCGTCTTGCATTATGCAACGGCATCCACTTCAACAAGTATTAGCCAGTCAAATCCTCCTAACCAACTCCCAACATACCACTTCAGCCCCTTCCTAAGCACAACCCATACTCAAAAACCCGCTGAACCTTGTCACACACTTTACACTATATTACTCGCATTTAGCTTCCCCCTACCCGCCACGCAATGCACAGCGCTGCAGCTGCCAAATACAATGTAGTGTTTAACACGCAAATGCGGTTGAGCTTGCATTTGTGCGCACCAGCTGTGTGTGGCAATATACGCTGAACGCTATACACCCCAGCATGAACCAGCACATAGTATCCAGCCACCCCCAACACGCACGCACACCAGCCCATCGCTTTCTCAAACGCAACACTCAATACCTGCTCAACCACCAAATGACACAGTGCTCCACCTACACAACCCCTGACCTTCCTCCAAATTTTGCTGCCCGTCTTGCCGTATGCAAAGGCATCCACTCCAACAAATATCGGCCAGGCAAATCCTCCTAGCCAACTCCCACCATACCGCGTCGCCTCCTTCCTAAACACAATCCATCCTCAAATACCCACCGCTTCTTGTCACACACTTTACACCATACCCACCCCATATTAGCTTCTCCCCACCCGCCACTCATTGAACAGCGCTACAGATGCCAAATCCAATGCAGTGTTGAACCCGGTGTTGCGCCTCATCTTGCATTTATCCGCACCAGCTGTGAGGCAGTATACGCTGAACGCTATACAGCCTAGCATGAACCAGCACACAGTATACAGCCTTCATTGCCGCGCACGCACGCCAGCCCATCGCCTCCTCAAACGCACCACTAAATACTTGCCCAACCACAAAATGACACACCTCGCCACCTACATAACCCCTTACCTTCCTCCAGCATTAGCTGCGTGTCTTGCCGTATGCAAAGGCAACCACTACAACACGTATCCGCCAGTTAAATCCTCCTAACCAACTCCCAACACACCACTTCGCCTCCTTCGTAAACACAACCCATACTCAAATACCCGCCGCTTCTTGTCACACACTCTACACCAGATTACCCCCATTTAGCTTCACTCGATCTCCCACTCAATCCACAACGCTGCAGCTGCGAGACTCAATGCAGTGTTTAGCATACATCTAAGGCTGACCTCGCATATATGCGCACTTCCTGCGTGGCAACATAGGCTGAACACTAAACAGCCTAACATGAACCAGCAAGCAGTATCCAGTCTCATCCACAGCGCACGCACACCAGCGCATCGCTTCCTCAAACGCACCACTAAATACCTGCTCAACCACCAAATGACACGGTGCTCCACCTACACAACCCCTGACCTTTCTCCAACATTAACTGCCAGTCTTGCCCTATGCAAAGGCATCCACTCCAACAAATATCGGGCACTCAAATCCTCCTAACAAGCTCCCAACATACCACCTCGGCTCCTTCCTAAGCACATCCCATACGCAAAAACCCAGCGCTTCTTGTCACACACTTTACACTATATTACCCCCATTTAGATTTCCCCCACCCCCACTCAATGCACAGCGCTGCACCTGCCAAATCCAATGCAGTGCTCAACACGCATATAAGCCTGGTTTTCTATTTATGCGCACTTGCTGAGTGGCAATATACGCTGAACGCTACACAGCCTACCATGAACCAGCACACAGCCTCTAGCCTTCATTGCCGCTCACTCATACCAGCGCATCGCTTCCTCAAACGCAACACTAAATACCTGCTCAACCACAAATTGACACACTGCATACCAGCGTATCGCTTCCTCAAACGCACCACTAAATACTTGCTCAACCACAAAATGACAATGTGCTCCACCTACACAACCCTGACCTTCTTCCAACTTAGCTGCCCGTCTTGCCGCATGCGGACGCATCCACTCCAGCAAATATCCGCCAGTCATATCCTCCTGACCAACTTACAGCATAACCCTTCTCGTCCCTAAACACGACCCATACTGAAAACCCCGCATCTGCTTGTCACACACTTTACATTATATTACCCCCCGTAGATTTCCCCTCACCCGCCAGGCGATGCACAGCGCTGCAGCTGCCAAATTCACTGCAGTGTTTAACACACAGCTGAGCCTCATCTTGCATTTATACGCACCAGCTGTCAGGCAATAAACGCTGAACACTACACAGCCCAGCATGAACCAGCACACAGTATCCAGCCTCCATTAACCCACACTCACACCACAGCATCACTTCCTCAAACGCACTATTCAATGCCTGCTCAACCACAGATTGACACACTGCTCCACCTACACAACCCCTGACCTTCCTCGAACATTAGCTGCCTGTCTTGCAGTATGCAAAGGCGTCCACTCCAACAAACATCCGGCAGTCAAATCCTCCTAACCAACTCCCAACATACCACTTCAGCCCCTTCCTAATCACAACCCATACTCAACAACCCACCGCTTCTTTCCACACACCTTACGCTATATTCCCCCCATTTAGCTTACCCCCAACCTCCCGCCAATACACCGCGCTGGAGCTAACAAATCCAGTGCACTGTCTCACACGCAACTAAGCCGCGTCTTGCATTTATGCGCACCAGCTGTGTGACAATATACGCTGCACGCTACACAGCCTAGCATGAACCAGCACACAGTATCCAGTCTCGACTACAGATCACCCACACCAGCGCATGGCGTGCTCAAACGCACCAATAAATACCTGCTCAACCACAAAGTGACACACTGCTCCACCTACACAACCCCTAACCTTCCTCCAACATTAGCCTCCCCTCTTGGCCTATGCAGAAACATACACTACATCAAATATCCGGCTGTGAAATCCTCCTACCCAACTCCCGACATGGCACTCCGCCTCCTTCCTAAACACAACCCATACTCAAAATCCCACCGCTTCTTGTCACACACTTTACACTACCTTACCCCCACTTAGCTTTTCCCCACCCGCCGCTAAAGTACGCAAAGATGCACGTACCAAAACCAATGTAGTGTTTAACACACATGTACGCATGATCTTGTATTTATGCGCACCAGCTGCGTGGGAATATACGCTGGATGCTATACACCCTAGCATGAACCAGCACACAGTATACTGCCTCAATCAACCCGCACGCATACCAGCGCATCGCTTCCTCAAACGCACCACTCAATATCTGCTCAACCACAAAATGACACACTGCTCCACCTACACAACCCCTGACCTTCCTCCAAATTTAGCTGTTCGTCTTGCCCTATGCAAAGGCATCCACTCCAACAAATATCCGCCAGTCAAATCCTCCTAACCAACCCCCAACACACCACATCATCCCGTTCCTAAACACAAAGCTTAACCGAAACCCCGCCGCTTTTTGTTACACACGTTACACTATATTACGCCCTTTCAGCTTGCCCCTACCCGCCACTCAATGCCAAGCGCTGCAGCTGCCAAAGCCAATGCAGTGCTCAACACACATATGCGCCTCATCTTGCATTTATCCGCACTTCCTGTGTGCCAATATATGCTGAACACTACACATCCTAGCATGAACCAGCACACAGTATCCAGCCACCATCAACGCGCACGCATACCAGCGCATCGCTTCCTCAAACGCACGACTAAATACTTGCTCAGCCAGAAATTGACACACTGCTCCACGTACACAACCCCTGACCTTCCGACAACATTAGCTGCCTGTCTTGCCGTATGCAAAGGCATCCAGTCCAACAAATATCCGCCAGTCAAATCCTCCGAACCAACTCCAAATATACAACTTTGGCTCCTTTCTAATCACAATCTATACTCAAAACCCGCCGCTTCTAGTAATACATTTTACACTATATTACCCGCATTTAGCTTCCCCCCACCCGCCACTCAATACACAGCGCTGCAGCTGCCAAATCCAATGCAGTGTTCAACACGCATATGCGCCACAAATTTCATTTATGCGCACTTCCTGAGGGCCAATATGCGCTGACCGCTAAACACCCTAGCATGAACCAGCACACAGTATCCAGCCTTCATTGCCGCGCACGCACACCAGCCCATCGCTTCCTCAAACCCACCACTCAATACCTGCTCAACCACAAGATGACACACTGCTCCAGCTACACAACCCCTGACCTTCCTCCAACATTAGCTGGCCGTCTTGCCCTATGCAAAGGCATCCACTCCATCAAATATCGCCCACTCTAATCCTGCTACCCAACGTCCAACATACCACTCCAACATAGCACTTCCCCTCCGTCCTAATCACAACCCCTACTCAAATACCCGCCGCTCCTTGTCATTGACTTTATATTATAGTAACCCGATCTCGCTCAAGCCCACCCCCTACTCAATCCACAGCGCTGCAGCTGCCAAATCCAATGCACTGCCTAACACGCAGCTGCACCTCCTCTTGCATTTATGCGCACAGGCTGCGTGGTAATATACGCTGAACGCTACACGCCCTAGCATGACCTAGCACACAGTACCCAGCCTCCCTCAGCGCGCACGCACACCAGCGCATCGCTTCCTCAAACGCACCACCAAATACTTGCTCAGCCACAAATTGACACACTGCCCCACCTACACAACCCCTGACCTTCCCCCAACATTAGCTGCCCCTCTTGCGCTATGGCGAATCATCCACTCCAACAAATATCCGCCAATCAAATCCTCCTAACCAACTCCCAACATACCACCTCGTCTTCTTCCTAGACACAATCCATGCTCAAATACCCGCAGCTTCTTTCCGCACACTTTACACTATATTACCCTCGCTTAGCTTCCCCCCACCCCTCACTCAATGCGCAGCGCTGCAGCTGCCAAATCCAGTGCAGTGTTTAACACGCATATACGCCTGGTTTTCTATTTATGCGCACTTGCTGAGTGGCAATATACGCTGAACGATACACAGCCTAGCATGAACCAGCACATAGTATCCAGGCTCCATCAACGCTCACGCGCACCAGCGCATCGCATCCTTAAAAGCACCACTAAATACCTGCTCAACCACAAAATGACAGTGCTCCACCTACACAACCCCTGACCTTCCTCCAACATTAGCTGCCCCTCTTGCCGTATGCAAAGGCATCCACTCCAACAAATATCCGCCAGTCAAATCCTCCTAACCAATCCCCAACATACCACTTCGGCTCCTTCCTAAACCAAACCAATACTCCAAATCACCCCCACTCTAGTCATACATTTTACAATATATTACCCCCATTTAACTTCCCACCAATCCCCACTCAATGCACAGCGCTGCAACTGCCAAATCCAATGCAGTGCTCAACACGCCTATGCGCCTCATCTTGCATTTATCCGCACCAGCTGCGTGCCAATATACGCTGAACGATACACACCTTAGCTTGACCCAGCACACAGTATCCAGCCCCCATCAACGCGCACGCACACCAGCGCATCGCTTCCTCAAACGCACCACTCAATACCTGCTCAACCACAAATTAGCTGCCCATCTTGCCGTATGCAAAGGCATCCAATCCAACAAATATCCGCGATCGTCTCCTTTCCTGGGATCGTCTCCCTTGGAGACGATCCCAGGAAAGGAGACGATCCCAGCCCTGCAACCAACTCCCAACATACCACTTCGCCTCCTCCCTAATCACCACCCATACCCAAATACCCGCCGCTTCTTTCCACACACTTTACACTATATTACCCGCATTTAGCTTCCCCCCACCTCCCACTCGACGCGCAGCGCTGCACCTGCCAAATCCAATGCAGTGCGCAACCCGGCGATGCGCATCACCACGCATATATGCGCACTTGCTGCGTGGCAATATACGCTGAACGATACACACCCTAGCGTGAGCCAGCACACAGCATCCAGTCTCAACTACCGCGCACGCACACCAGCGCATCGCTTCCTCAAACGCACCACTCAATACCTGCTCAACCACAAAATGACACACTGCTCCACATACACAACCCCTGACCTTCCTGCAATATAAGCTGCCTATCCTGCCGTATGCAAAGGCATCCACTCCATCAAATATCGGCCAGTCAAATCCTGCCAACCAACTCCCAACATACCACTTCGGCTCCTTCCTAATCACAACCCATACTCAAATACCCGCCGCTTCTTTCCACAGACTATACACTATATTAGCCCCATTTAGCTTACCCCCACCCCCACTCAACGCACAGCGCTGCAACTGCCAAATCCAATGCAATGCGCAACACGCATATGCGCCTCATCTTGCATTTATGCGCACTCCCTGCGTGGCAATATACGCTGAACGATACACACCCTAGCATGCACCAGCACACAGTATCCAGCCACCCCCAACGCGCACGCATACCAGCGCATCGCTTCCTCAAACGCACCACTCAATGCCTCCTCAGCCACAAATTGACACACTGCTCCACCTACACAACCCCTGACCTTTCTCCAACATCAGCTGCCTGTCTTGCCTTATGCAAAGGCATCCACTCCAATAAATATCGGCCAGTTAAATCCTCCTAACCAACTCCCACCATGCCACTTCGGCTCCTTCCTAATCACAACCCATACTCAAATACCCGCCGCTTCATTCCGAATACTTTACACAATATTACCCCCCTTTAGCTTGCCTCCATTCCTCCACCCAATGCACAGCGCTGCAGCTGCCAAATCCAATGCAGCTTTTAGCACGCAGCTCCGCCTCATCTTGCATTTATGCGCACTTGCTGCGTGGCAACATACGATGAAGGCTACATAGCCTAGCATGAACCAGCACACAGTATCCAGCCCCTATCAACGGGCGCTCATGCCAGCGCACCGCTTCCTCAAACGCACCACTAAATACCTGCTCAACCACAAACTGACACACTGCTCCACCTACACCACCCCTGACCTTCCTCCAACATTAGCTGCCAGTCTTGCCGTATGCAAAGGCATCCAGTACAACAAATATCTGCCAGTCAAATCCTCCTAACCAACTTCCAACATACCACTTTGCCTCCTTCCAAAAACGCCGCACGCGAAAACACCCTGCTTCTTGTCACACACTTTAGAGTATATTGCCCCCATTTAGCTTCCCCTCACCTCCCACTCAATGCGCAGCGCTACAGCTGCCAAATCCAATGCACTGCTTAAAACGCAACTGCACGTCATTTTGCACTTATGCGCACCAGCTGCGTGGCAATATACGCTGAACGCTACACACCCCAGCATTAATCAGCATACAGTGTCCAGTCGCCATAAACGCTCACGCATACCAGCGCATCGCTTCCTCAAACGCACCACTAAATACCTGCTCAACCACAAAATGACACACTGCTCCACCTACACAACCCCTGACCTTCCGACAACATTAGCTGCCCATCTTGCCGTATGCAAAGGCATCCACTCCCACAAATATCCGCCAGTCAAATCCCGCTACCCAACTTCCAACATACCACTTCGCCTCCTCCCTAATCACCACCCATAATCAAAAACTCGCCCCTTCTTTCCACACACTTTACACTATCTTATTCAAATTTAGCTTCCCCCCACCCCCACTCAATGCACATCGCTGCACCTGCCAAATCCAATGTAGTGTTTAACACGCAGCTAAGCCTCATCTTGCATTTGTGCGCACCATCTGTGTGGCAGTATGTGCTGAATGCTACACAGCCTAGCATGAACTAGCATACAGTACCCAGCCTCTACTAACGCGCACGCACACGAGGGCATCGCTTCGCCGAACGCCCCGTGAAGTGCCTCCTCAACCACAAATTGACACACTGCTCCACCTACCCAACCCCTGACCTTCCTCCAACATTAGCTGCCTGTCTTGCCCTATGCAAAGGCATCCACTCCAACAAATATCCGCCAGTCAAATCCTCCAAATTGACTCCCAACACACAACTTCAGCTCCCTCCTAATCACACCCTATACTCAACAACCCGCCGCTTCTTGTCACACATCTTACACTATATTATCCCCCAATTAGCTTCCCCCGCCCTTCAATGCAACTCACAACGATGCCCCTGCTAAACACATTGCAGCGCTTTACACGCCGATGCGCCACATCTTGGATTTATCCGTACCAGCTGCGCGGCAGTATACGCTGAACGCTACACAGCCTAGCATGAACCAGCACACAGTCTCCAGCCGCCACTGCCGTGCACTCACACGAGTGCACGGCTTCCTCAAACGCACCACTAAATATCTGCTCAACCACAAAATGACACACTGCTCCACCTGCCTCTAACTTCAGAAACCCGTCTTGCCCTATGCAAAGGCATCCACTCCAACAAATATCCGCCAGTCAAATCCTCCTAATCAACTCCCAGCATACAAATTTGCCTCCTGGCTAAACAAACCCCATACCGAAAAACCCACCGCTTCTTTCCACACACTTTACACTATATTATCCCCACATAGCTTCCCCCACCTCCTACGTAATGCCCCGCGCTGCAGCTGCAAAAATCCAATGCATTGCTCAACACGCAGCTAAGCCTGGTCTTGCGTCTATCCGCACATGCTGCGTGGCAATATACGCTGAAGGCTACACGCTCTAATATGAACCAGCAAACAGTCACCAGCCGCCACTACCGTGCACGCACACCAGCGCATCGCTTCCTCAAACGCACCACTAAATACCTGCTCAACAAAAAAATGCCACACTGCTCCACCTACACGACCCCTGAACTTCCTCCAGCATTAGCTGCCCGTCTTGCCTTATGCAAAGGCATCCACTCCAACAAATATACAAATCCTCCTAACCAACTCCCAACATACCACTTCAGCCCCTTCCTAAACACAACCCATACTCGAAAACCCACCGCTTCTTTCCACACGCTTTACACTATATAACCCCCATTTACCGTCCCGTCGCCCCCCTCTCAATGCACAGCGCTGCACCTGCCAAATCCAATGTAGTATTTAACACGCTGCAAAGCCTCATCTTGCATTAATGCGCACCCCCTGCGTGGCAATATACGCTGAACGCTACACAGCCTAACATGAACCAGTACACAGTCTCCAGCCTTCATCACCGCCCACGGACACCAGCGCATGGCTCCCTCAAACGCAACACTAAATATCTGCTCAACAACAAAATGACACACTGCTCCACCTACACAACCCCTGACCTTCCTCCAACATTAGCTGCCCGTCTTGCCCTATGCAGAAGCACCCATTCCAACAAATATCCCCCACTCACATCCGCCTGACCAGCTCCCAACACACCACTTCAGCGCGTTACTAAACACAACCCCTAACCCAAAATCCGCCGCTTTTTGTCACACACTTTAGCCTATGTTGCCCCCATTTAGCTTGCTCTGCAGCCCCCACTCACTCAATGCACAGCGCTTCAGCTGCCAAATCCAATGTAGTGTTTAACAGGCATATGCTCCTCATCTTGCATTTATGCGCACCAGCTGCGTGGCAATATACGCTGAATGCTACAAACCCTAGCATGCACCAGCACACAGTTTCCAGTCTTCATCACCGCGCACGCATACTAGCGCATCGCTTCCTCAAACGCACCACTAAATACCTGCTCAACCACAAAATGACACTGCGCTCCACCTACACAACCCTTGACCTTCCGACAACATCAGCAGCAAGTCTTGCCCTATGCTGAAGCATTCACTCCAACAAATATCCGCCAGTCAAATCCTCCCAACCAACTCCCAACATACCACTTCGCCCCCTTCCTAATCACAACCCATACTCAAACACCCGCCTCTTCTTGTCACACGCTTTACACTATATTACCTCCATTTAGCTTCCCCCACCCCCACTGAATGCGAAGCAATGCAGCTGTCAATTCCAATGCAGTGTTCAAAACGCAGCTGTCCCACGCCTTGAATTTATCCGCACCAACTGTGTGGCAATATACGCTGAACACTACAGCGCCTAGCATGTCCCAGAGAACGGTATCCAGCCTCCATCAACGCGCACGCACACCACCGCATCGCTTCCGCAAACGCACCACCAAATACCTGCTCAACCAAAACAAATGACGCACTGCTTCACCTACACAACCCCTGACCTTCCTCCAACATTAGCAACCCCTCTTGCCATATGCAAAGGCTTCCATTCCAACAAATATCCGCCATTCAAATCCTCCTAACCAACTCCCACCATACCACTTGGCGTCCTTCCTAAACGCCACCCATACTCAAAAAGCCACCGCTTCTTCTCACACACTTCACACTATATTAGCCAAATTTAGCTTACCCCGACCCGCCAGTCAATACACCATGAAACAGCTGCCAAATCCAATGTAGTGCTCAACACGCAGCTCAGCCTCATCTTGCATTTATGCTCACCACCTGCGTAGCAATATATGCTGAATGCTACACAGGCTAACATGAACTAGCACACAGTATCCCGCCTCCATCACCGCCCGCGCACACCACCGCATCCCTTCATCAAACGCACCACTATATACCTGCTCAACCACAAAATGCCACACTGCTCCACCTACACAACGCCTGACCTCCCTCCAACATCGGCAACAAGTCTTGCCCCATGCAAAAGCATACACTCCAACAAATATCCGCCTGTCAAATCCTCGTAACCAACTCCTAACATACCGCTACGTCTCGTTCCTAATCACAGCCCATTCGCTAATACCCGCCGCTTCTTGTCACACACTTTACGGTTTAATACCACAATTTAGCTTACACCCACCCCCCACGCAAAGCACAGCGCGGCAGCTGCCAAAACCAATGCAGCTCTTAACACGCAGCTAAGCCTCATCTTGCATTTATCCGCACTTGCTGCGTGGCAATATATGCTGAACGCTACAGAGCCCACCATGAACCAGCACACAGTATCCAGTCTCTATAATCGCGCGCACACACCAGCGCATCGCTTCCTCAAACGCACCTCTAAATACCTGCTCAACCACAAAATAGCACACTGCTCCAATTACACAACCCCGGACCGTCCTCCAGCATTAGCTGCCCGTCTTGCCATATGCAAAGGCATCCACTCCAACAAATATCGGCCTGTCAAATCCTCCTAACCAACTCCCAACATACCACTTCGCCTCCTTACTAAAGACAGCCCCTAGCCTAAAACCCGCCGCTTCTCGTCATACACTATACACAATATTAGCCCCATTTATCTTCCCCCCACCAGCCACTCAATACACAGCGCTGCAGCTGCCAAATCCGATGCAGCCTTTAACGCGCAGCGCAGCTTGACTTTGCATATTTGCCCACTTCCTGCGTGGCAATATACGCTGAATGCTACACAGCCTAGCATGAGTTAGCACACAGCATCCAGACCACACTATCGCCCACGCATACAAGCGCATCGCCTCCTCAAACGCACCACTAAATACCTGCTCAACCACAAATTGACACAGCGCACCTCTTACACAACCCCTGACCTTCCGACAACATTAGCTGCCCCTCTTGCGCTATGCAAAGACATCCACTCCAACAAATATACGCCGCTCAAATCGTCCTAACCAAATCCCAACATACCACTTCGCCTCCTTCCTAAACACAATCCATACTCAAACACCCGCTGCTTCTTGTCACACACTTCACACTATATTCCCCCCATTTACTTCCCCTCCACACCCCACACAACGCACAGCTCTGCAGACGCCAAATACAATGCAGTGTTCAACACGCATATGCTCCTCATCATGCATTTAACCGCACTCGCTGCATGGCAATATACGCTGAACACTACACACCCTAGCATGAACCAGCACA